ATAAAAATGCAGACCATGTGAGACTTGTACTTCATACTGAAGTAAGGTGGCTCTCACAGAGAAATTGTTTGAAAAGATTCATGGAACTATTTGATGTTCTTAGTGACTTTTAAGTGACAAGCCTGAAATGAAGAAGCTGCTAACTGTTGATGGTAAATCATTTGTGAGTTATTTAGCAGATATCTTTAAAAACTGAATATGTTGAATAAACAACTTCAAGGAACAAATAAAATTCTTGTTGATGCAAAGGCAAAGTTATTTGGCTTCAATATATTTATAGAGTTATCAAAACATATTTCTGACAAGAAATTGACATGTTTCATTGGCTAAAAAATGTGAGGTGACTACTTGTCATTATGGATCATCTGAAAATATTGGCCTCTGATTTGAAAGAAAGATTTTCTGATTTAAAATAAATTGACTTCCCAACATGGGTAGTGCAGCCAGTGCTAGTGGATCTTTCTGATGTTTCAATGCCAAGAAAAATGATGAGTCACTTAAAACTTTATTCAGTATAAAAGAGTGATGGCATGGCTTTGTGATGAGACAGAAATTAAATACCCAAATTCATCTTACTTTGCAAGAAAACTGCTGTTACTGTTCCCATCTTCATATTTAGCTGAATGTGGCTTTAGTGCTGTAAAGGATTTGCTACCAAAGAAAAGAAATCAACTGGATATCAGTGAGCGAGGAGACTTGAGAATGAAGCTGACTAAATTGGAGCCTAATAAAAAATTTCTCTGCTGCAAGCATCAAGCAACAGGGTCTAACTAACTTAAGTAGACTAAAGCTGCAACCCTACTGGGACTAAGCCCCATTGAAGACAATGGTACTTATTTCTGAGTAGACATGCATAGCATTGCAAGGTAAATATGATCTTGAGGTAAGCTCAAATTGTATTTTGAATTTGTTAGGTACCTTTATTTTAATATGTATAGTAAGTAATATGATCAAAGTATTACATAAAAAGCTTTCATTAAAATTATTTTATATTTATGCATTTCAGTTCTACATTATACGTTTTGAAACTTTATTTGTTGTTTTTTCATATCCCTTCATACAATTATTTTTTAAGTTCCTCAGTACTTCTGTCTTTCATTCCTTTATTTTTCTCTTTCATGGATGCCATATTCTTTGGAACTTTGTTTAAACCAAGTTAATGGCCTTTTAGGTTTCCTCCGTGTGAGTAGGAGTTCACTTTTTAATTGTAAGAATTATATGTCACAGAAGGGGCATCAGGATTTTAGAGATGCTTAGGTGGGGCATGGCCAAAAAAAGGTTGGGTACCACGGTAGTAGTGTTATCCAGAGGTGGGCTGCAGCTGCTTCGCACTGTAGGAATCTCCCCACGTGCCCCATTTTGGATTCCAGGTTTGGGCAGGAGGCATTCCAGGCCCAAAATGGGGCACATGGGGGTTGTCACACACCCCGTTTTGGCTTCCAGGGTGGTGCAGGAGGCCTTCCAGGCACAAAACAGAACATGGGCATTATGCAGGGACGTGCAGTCAGGGGAGGCATGGCCTCACCACTGTCATCATGGAAAGAAAACAAAATGTAAAAGGAAAAAAGGCTGAGGTAGTTGCTGCCAGAGTCACAGTGGATGACTCTGCTTAGTGCTTAACTGTTTAAAAAAGCCTCTAAAAAGTGCCTTCTACAGGAGGAGGCA